CCCTCAGGCTCAGGCAATCCACTCACCTCAGCCTCCCAAAGGCGTGGGATTACAGGCTGAGCCACCGAGCCCGGCAATGAAACCAATTTTTAAAAAAGGATATAAACTTGGGGCTCTAAAAGGAGACTAAAGACAATAGGAACTTTTAAGACTATACTGTAATCCTGCGCTTTGGGAGGCCGAGGTGAGTGAATTTCCTGAGCCTGCGGGTTCGAGACTCACCTGGGCAACTTGGGGAGACCTCATCTTTACAATAAATCAAAAATTAGCCGGCATGGTAGCGCATGCCTGTAGTTCCAGCAACTTGGAAGGCTGAGGCGGAAGGATCGCCGGAGCACAGCAGGTCGAGGCTGCGGATGGCTGGGAGCGTGCCACTGCCCTCTAGCCTGGGTGACAGAGTGAGACTCCAACTCAAAAAAAAAAAAGAACATACTGATATTGTTTGAAGTTCAATCTTGGCATGAAGTCATATTGCTAGGAGGAATAACCAGTTGAACTCTCTAACCAGTTGTACTGGGAGGTTTATGTTGAATGTGTCCAAAATTGTTTGAGACTCACAAAAGCGCTAGACAAATAGGCAGATTGAGATTCTATAAAATTGTAACTCAATTTTATCCTGGGAATCAGTATTCTCAGGGCAGGGTGGGGAAAAATAGACAATTGGCATTAATTTTTTTTAAAATAGAAAAAAAAAGCATAGCACCAGCAGCTATAACTTATACTATGCTTACAAAGTGCCTGCATACTTAACCATAACCCTATGAAGTAGGTTCTGTTATTATCTTCATTTTGTAGGTGAGGAAACTGGGCACAGAGAGGGTAAGTAATCTGCTGAAGGTCACAAAAGAATAAGCAAAAGAGCTGGGATTCAAATATAGGCAGTCTAGCTACAAGTACCACAATCTTATCACATTGCACTATATTATACTGGCAAGAAACTTAGTTGCTTTTTTCAAACAAATCTCTATTGAAATGATATGCATATAATTCACTTGGCAATATGAGACAATAATCATCTGGCTGGAACCTTTATTATTTCAGAAATAAGCATTCTATGTACTTTGAGATGATCAGTAATTGTTTCTTGATTACTATGATAAATATTTGTCAAAAATAGCAATCATCTCAATCATACAGACTTCTGTTCATTAAAGACTTCCAAAAATAACTCTTCTGTATCAAAAAAAACCCCTTACAAATATCACAAGAAAGTCAAGGTCTATGCAGGACAGAAGGAAAATTCTGCTAAGAAAAACTAATGAAGCATTCTCCCCTTTACAAGCAATATATTTCACTACAACAGAACTAGGTTTGCTTTGCTTTTTAGTGCTTGGTCTGAGAGGGAATGCAGGAAACCAAACTGCTTTCATAATCTCAAGTATAAGCTACAAACAGGTTTCTCCATAAAAGTTCCAAAGTTTGAAGAGATAAGAAAAGCAAGCATGTATTCATTTACACATTTCAATAAATGTGCAAAAAATCCCTCAGCAATGATGAACATGTTTGTATGTCTGGAAAAACAAAATTCATGCTTTGACTATTTTACCTTGAGAATAATCTTAAGGATATTTCATTTTATAGGATTCAAAAGTAAAACTCAGGATTGACATTCCGGACTGTCCTAACAATGAGAAGTCAAACATAACCACATCTACACTGTAAACAGAACCCTGAGAAGCAACAGCAGAAGAATGTATCACCTGTGTCTCTGTTTCAGGCTTAATACTTTTGCTAAGATCAACAGATGAATGTAAAAGCAGTCAATCACTTATTCAAATAATCAGATGTCTCTCACTAGCTGAATCACACAAGTGCTAAGTCCTAAGTATTAAAAAAAAACAACAAAAACAAAGGCAGTGCAGATGCCCCTTTCCTTCTCTCTGGTCCCTTTTCCAAACCTCTACTTCACTTACGACATTACTTACAATATTCTGCATTCCATAAAATATGCAGACAAACACAGGTTTGATAATTTTTACTTAACCTAATAAATTTAAAAATAGATAAAATACTTAACATTCTCATAACACAAACCTTAGTTTTCATGTTCATTAAAACATTCAAAAATTACTCAAACATGAGAATTGGAAATGTAGGTGCTTATGTGGGAGACAGCTACTGAATTTATTCTCCAGAAGAAAAAGCAGACCTGAAGCATCACATTACTGGAACGTTTTAAACATTGTGACTTGTTCTTATCTTCTAAACTTCAATGAAAGCTGCTTATACAAACTATTTAATGAATATCTGCCCTATTAAACAAGCAAGATATCTGATATAGCAGAGATGCCAGAAGTTGAGTCACTTCATTTCTTTCTGTTGCCTCCAGTTGCTAGCATAGTCGCAACTCGCATAAATATATTTAACGTATCCATGTAGATGCTCAGCATCCTGAAAAAGAAAATTATTGCCCATTACATATGATGCAATTCTAATAGGATAAATATTTATTAATATAGAAGAAAAACCAATACTGATTATTTGTTCTAACTACATGAAATGGAAATTAAAAATAAGATGTTTATCTGTCCTAGACTAGAAAATGGTAAAGGTTTTCCTTCTGGCAGATGAATCTTTTAAATGTTAAAGGGCAGTTTTAAAAATCATTATTCTATACTCTGACACTCCACTATGAGTATAGTAACTTGCAAAGAAAACTGGGTGACAACGAAATAATAAAAATAAAACCAAAGAAACACCTTTATTAAAACTTGTTAGACACAAGTCTGGCATTCTTAAATATAATATACTCACTTTGCTCCTCTACAGAAAACTGCTAGAAATCTGTAAGCTTTACAGCAACATTTTTTCTAAACCATAATATTAAGTTTTATTTTTTTTGCTTTTTATTTTTATTTTTTTTGAGTTGGAGTCTCACTTTGTCCAGACTGGAGTGCAGTGGCTGCTCCCAGCCACCGCAGCTTCGACTGCTGGGCTACGGCAATCCTTCCGCCTCAGCCTTCCAAGTAGCCGGAATTACAGGCATGCACTACCATGCCCGGCTGATTTTTTGATTTATTGTAGAGATGAGGTCTCGCCTGCCCAGGTGGGTCTCGAACCTGCGGCTCAGGCAATCCACTCACCTCAGCCTCCCAAAGGCGCGGGATTACAGGCTGAGCCACCGAGCCCGGCTTAAGTTTTGTTTTTAAAGAAAAACAAATTACTTTAAAAAGATGTGACAGACACCATGAAACTCAAGAAAATTGTATAAATAAAATAACCTACTTTGGTAGATTCCAAGAAAAGAGAAAAAGCATTATTATAGAACACTTAATGCCAACTAAAGTTGAAGAGTTTCCAATTTTTAGAAGCCTATTATAAAACAGGCTTCTCTATTAAAGAATCCAAGTCAATTATGTACATTTTTTGGTTTGTTTTTAGTTGGAGTCTCACTCTGTCATCCAGGCGGAGTGCAGTGGAACAATGATGGTTTACTACAGCCTCAACTTCATGAGCTCAGGCGATCCTTCTCCTTAGCCTCCCGAGTACAGATGCATGCTACCATGCTTGGCTAATTTTTAAAATTCTTTGTAGAGCTGAGGTCTTGCTATGTTGCCTAGATTGGGCTCAAGCAATTTTTGAGGCCTCCCTCCTCGGTCTCCCAAAGTGTTGGGATTACAGGTGTGAGCCATAGCAACTGGCCCAATTATGTACATTTTCCAGTAAAAAATACTTGACTAATATGCATCTTTTCTTGAGCTTTAAAGTCTGCAAAATATACACTACTAAAAATTGTTAATTGACCAATAAGAGCACATTTTTAAACCACGAGGCTAGTTAACAATAGGTACTCTGAGATAACTAAATGAATACCTAAATATTACATTTAGCTGCAATAAAATCAGAGGTTTTCTGCAAAGAGGTTTTACTAAAGAGAATAAACTAATCTGCAACAGAAATAAAATAGTAAAATATGACAGAGCCATCGTTGTGGGCTAAATGGTATCCCTTTCCAAAATATGTAAAAGTCCCATGCTCTGGTACCTGTAAACATGCCCTTATTTGAAAATTTGGTCTCTACAGATGTAATTAAGATATGTTAGAATGAAGTCATACTGGAGTACAGTAAGCCCTTAATCCAATATGACTGGTGACCTTAGGAGAAAAGAAGAGACAGAGACAGACCCCCAAAGAATGCCATGTTAAGATGGAGGCAGAGACTGAAGTGATCCACCTGCTAGCCAAAGAATGCCAAGGACTTCTAGCAGTAACAAGAAGCTAAGAGAGGGGTGTGTAACAGATTCATCCTTGGAAAGTACCATCCCTACTGACACCTTGATTTTGGACTTCTGGCCTCCAGAGTTGTGAGACAAAGTTCTTTCATCTTAAGTCACAGTTTGTGATACTTTATTATGAGTAGCCCTAGGAAATAAATATAGCCATAAAATAAAATAGGTCAAGCTAACACAAACATTCTTGTATAACCGAGTAACAACATTAAAAGTTACTTACGAGTTGATGGGATCATATTTTTGAACTCCATACATTGGTGCTATTTCTGCACGCTTGATTACTTTCTGGGTATCATACAGAAGGAACATGCTGAAAAGAACTAATCCACCATACATTGCCACTGAGTACAGAGTGGCACCAGCCACAGTGGTAGGTGGAAGAAACATAGATCCTGAAATCAAAATGGGAAAACAAAATTATGATTTTTTTCTTTCTTTTTTCTTTGAGTTGGAGTCTCATTCCATTGCCCAGGCTGGAGTGGCACACTCATGGCCACCCTAGCATTGACCTGCTGGGCTAAAGAGATCCTTCTGCCTCAACCTTCCAAGTAGCCGGAGCTACAGGCGAGTGCTACCATGCCCAGCTAATTTTTTTTAATTGTAGAGACAAGGTTTTGCCAAGTTGCCCGGGCTGCTCTTGAACCTGCAGGCTCAGGCAATTCACTCGCCTTGGCCTCCCAAGGGGTTGGGACTGCAGACTGAGCCACCAAGGGTTTATAATTTACATTACTTTTTAAAGAAATCTCTTTGGTATACTGTGAAGGTAAAAAGACATCTATGTGCTGGCTAATCTTATTTACATTAGCTCAAAACCTATGATACTCATTTCTCCAGTGGGTTACTTGTTCACATTACAGGAAGGCTCTTGCATCAAATAAATTCTCCAGATCAACTTGCTCATTTTAGATGTACTTGGTAAAACCAATAATAATGGTTGGCCATGTTGCCAAGATTTTTATATGACACCAAATAGTAAAATCCAGGCAAATCAGCGTATATCTTTTAAGTAACTTTTTTTTCTTTTTTTGAGTTGGAGTCTCACTCTGTCGCCCAGGCTGGAATGCAGTGGCACGCTCCTGGCCACCGCAGCCTCAACCTGCTGGGTTCAGACCATCCTTCCGCCACAGCCTTCCAAGTAGCTGGAACTACAGGTGCACGCTACCATGCCCAGCTAATTTTTTTGTTTTATTGTAGAGATGAGGTCTCGCCAAGTTGCCCAGGTGGGTCTTGAACCCGCAGGTTCAGGCAATTCACTCACCTTGGCCTGCCAAAGTGCAAGATTACAGGCTGAGCCATTAAGTAACTTTTTAAAATGACTCAACAAGTTAGGATACTGGAGTATGTCAGATATTAGGACACTATGAACCAAGAACTAAGTGTCAAAGCACAGTAACTTACCCAGCGAGGACACAAATACGAGACCCAGGCCCACTCCCAGGGGCGCACCCATGTTCAGAAACTTTTCACTGGGTGCGCACATGGCCACAGTGGAGAGACCTCCCACGATGCCAGCTGTGTACCATGCAGCTCTGATGAGAAGAGGTCCCCCTATTATCGTCAGAGGAGCCACCACTGCACCCATCACACCTGAAGAAAGAGCAAGTGCTCATAAGTATTTACTATAAATAACAATTTAAAGGGAAAACTGCCATTTCTAACATGCTATCTTAACATATGACACTTTACTGTTTAAACAATATGATTACAAAAAGTTATGCTTTTAGATACTACCCCACAATCAAAATTCCATAATCAAAACCTGTGGCTATGCAAAATTCTACATGACAACATTAATACCATTCCTAGTTATACAGTTACAACTCATAGAAACACTAATCTACATTTTCAGTAACTGTCAAATTCCATGTAGCTCACTATTTGGATCTGTGCTTACCACCAGTTTTTACAACAACATTCATGTAAGAATTGAGATTAAAAGGCTTAAAACAGGGTCAAAAGGGAATAAAGCAAAAGTAAAGAGCACATAATGATAATCTTTGTTAAAAATTCTTTTATAAGTATTTTGTAGAGATGAGGTCTCTCTATGTTGCCTAAGCTGGTCTCAAACTCCTGGTCTCAAGTGGTCCTCCCGCCTTGGTCTCCCAAAGTACTGGGATTATAGGTGTGAGCCACCATACCCAGTTGATGATAATTATAGAACTTCCAGGACAGATACTCCTGTTACTCTGTGTTAACAGCTAATGCTATCACAGTTTATAAAAAGTAATTTTAGTTGTCAGATATTTATAAACATCTTTATAAAAACTACGTAAAATAATTTAAGGTAAATGAAAGTCCTTAATTAAAAAAATCACTTAGATAAGGTATTACTTTAGTGTGGAGCAGAACAAGTTAGCCTTTTCTTAATCATGGCTTACCTAACAGACTAGGCACAGTGTGATCATCATACTAAATTTTCAATACTAGTATATGTATATTGTGTTTGCAAGAGTAACATTCTAGATCAAGTAATAGGTATATTATATCTTATGATGATGAATAATTCAAAAATACATTTTGCTCTAGGAATGATATTGGAAAAATATTTCTACATATGACAGTTTTATTTAGATTACTATCAGTTTTGTATTTGGCAGCAAAATTTTTAGTAAAATTTTATCTACCCTGAGTTTTCTATTCTTCTAAAGATACCAGAAAATAACAACTCTCAAGTTGATTTGTATCAGATAAAATCCTCCTGGTATTGAACAAAATACACAAAAGCAATTCTCTGTATAGACTAGAATATTACAGAAGAAAAGTTCAATATTGGAGAGTCCGTGGTCTTAGCAGCAGAAGCAACTTTTCAGAGCAAAGGTCTGGCAATAATGTAACCAATAATGATTGAAGAAAGTTGTGTTTTCTAAATATGAGGTTCAATTACATATAAATCATTTACAACCATGAGAAGCCACCCCAAGAAAGGTAGTATTCAAGGTTGTTTAGTATCAATTTTAAATAGAACATACCAGAATGTAGCAACCAAGCAAGATGCTTTGGGCCTGGGCTCCGGTCATACGATATTGATTGTACAAGCATTCCAGCTCCAATCATGGCTGCAAAGGTTGCACCGATTGTCTGAAAGACACATATTATTAAGAAAAAATAAATTCTTACCCAAAGGCTTCAACCATACTTAGTTATTTCTAAGAAACCAGTTTTAAAAGATTAAGGAAAATAAACCAAACCCTCTATTTTTCTGGCACATTTAAGGTCTTGGGTTTATTTCACAGTTTTGGCTAAGTTAGCAAGTGTGCTCTCTACTGCCATCTATGAGTTTTTGCAAATAGTTTCAAATATGTGACTTGAGCTTGGACTGGCACCATTATCTTTTAACAATTTTATTCTTGTTGGAGGGAAAACAAAAACCCTTTAAGAATCCCAGGATAATTGTTCTGAATTAAAATATATATTTTGCTATAGCACACAGAGCATTTTCTTTAAAAATAAGTCATGACCTAATAATTAGAAAAAATATACATAGCAAATTGCTTTGAATTCTGTATTTACTAAATGAAAACTGAAAAACAGAGGGTGGCTATCACAGCCCATGGAAAAGAAGATGAGAAATAATGATTCTACACTTCTATCCTTCCAGGTTTATGGCTGACTTGGTCCTCATTCTTTTTTCTTTGCCTATCTAAGATTTCCATTATTATAACATTTAAATATTCCCAGTGTATATCAAGAAGAAATGTGTATAATGGAAGGGATAGTCATAATCTTCAAGAGATTTAAAGTGGAGTTTACAAACTTGTATCCCTTAGATAGAATCATGCAGATGTTTTGTTTGACCAACTATTAAAAAAAAATTAAATATGGTGAGTGCTTTCAGTTGGGAAGGCTTTCTTTAGATGTAAATAATCTTTGGTATGACACACCAGGCCTGCTTACTAATGGACATTGTCTGTTTGGCCCATGGACATCAACATGTTTGACCTCTAATGCGATGTACACTAGGTAAACAATACAGCTGTTTTTGCTAAGGATGGGAAAACCTTAATACAGAAAAGCATACTGAACCAGGCGTGGTGGTGTGCGCCTGCAGTCTCAATTACCGGAGAAGCTGACATGGGAGGATTACTTGAGTCTAGGAGTTTGAGTCTAGCCCAGGTAACACAGCAAGACTCCATCTCTATAAAAAATAAAAGGAGGGCAACCTATTTCAGGTTCCCTCCCACTGTGGGAGCTTTTCTGTCTCCTTAATAAATCCTACCAAAAAAAAAAAGCATACCAAGTTCCATTCCACCATTTTCCAGTGGTGAAACAATTACTGAAAATGACTTCATGCACCCTCTGAGTATAGCATTTTCAGGATAGTTATTACAATTATATTTTTTTCTTTTATGGTCCCTTATGACCAGTCTCTTTTTTGTTTTTGGGTCAGAGTCTCACTCACTTTGTCGTCCAGGTTAGACTGCAGTGGCACTATCACTGCTACTGAAGTCTCGACCTGTTGTGCTCAAGTGATCCTTCCACTTCAGCCTTCCAAGTAGCTGAGACTATAGGTGTGCACCACCACCAGGCCTGGCTAATTTTTTATTTATTGTAGAGTCAAGGGTCTCACCATGTTGCCCAGGCTGGTCCTAAACTCCTAGGCTTAGGCAATCCTGTTGTCTTGGCCTCCCAAAGTGCTGGTATTACAGGTGTGAGCCATTGTGCCCGGCCTCATTTTTTTGTCTTTAACCTTTCTATACTCCATACTCTGCTATACTGAGCTGGGAGGGCTGCAAACATGCCCCAAAGTTTTATGCCTCCTTAACTCTGTTCACTGTGCCTAAGAATATCTTCTTCCTATCTGGTTGATTTAATTAGGTATTGCCTCTTTGTCTTGAAAGCTTTTTCTAGGAGGTACCCTGGTTTCCCAGAAGAGGAGATACCTCTCCTCTTCTGAAAGCACTTGGAACAAACTTTGACATTATCTGTGTGTTTGTGTGTGTGTTTGTCTATCACTGCCAAGAGACTTTATATTCATCTCTGTAGCATCTGTCTTTGGCATTCCCAAGTATTTTTTGAAGGTATCCCTAAGTGGAGGAGGGTGATCTTTTGCTCAGAGGGTGCTGAGGATATATAATCCAAGTACCAAACTTCTTTGAAGTCTTATCTTAGGACCTAAAATTTTATTTAAATCTGTCATAATATTGCCAGATTTATTACAAAAGTATTGTTTTAAATGATTTATGTAACTTTGATTAAAACTGACATTCCATGCTTATTTTGTGCCTTCATGAACCTTAGGCCTAGGAGATACATGACATTCATTACTTTTTTACTTTTTAGTAGAGATTGCACTATGTTGCACAGGCTGGTCCAGAACGGCTGAGCTTAAGTGATCCTCTGTGCCTTGGCCTCCCAAAGTGCTGGGATTACAGGTGTGAGCCACCATGTCCTGGCCTATGACACCATTTGAAAAGCATGACCCTAAGACTACGTAGATGTTCAAATGGCTAAGCTACTGTAAATGATTCTCTTTTTGGAAAGTACAAGATAGTAGAAATATTATAGCCTTGGGTTACTATGTGGGGAACTGGTAAATATCACACAAACTCTTCCACTTCTCCTTTCCCTCCAGTCTCACACTCTCTGCTCTAGTTTACCATTCATTTCAGGTCTTAGAAAAGCACAGCTGGCAGAACTGCTTCATGTATCTTCCACATTAGTTCTTAAAATTCAAATACAAATCACACTTTTGCTTTTCCAGTATCTTCAATGGCCTCAATTGCCTAGGTTCTCTCTTCAGCTTGGCAATTAAACTTTCTAACTATTAATTAAACCTTTCTAACTATGTCTTCTTCACACTTCAGACCTCAAATGCTCAAACTTCACTCTAACAAGGCTGTAAGTCACTTTTAAAATTAGGTTTTCCTACCTTTTCTTTGCTCAAGCTGGTTGGTAAAACTGGACTGCCCTTGTCCACTTCTAAAATACACATGCTGGCCTTCAACAACCCTGGTGAAATAAATGTCTTCTTCACAGAACTTCCCTAATAGTCTAAGACAGAAATTTTCAACTGACTGCACTTTCTACTTCTTATTGTATAACCTGTACCACTTATTCTAGTTCATCCCTTCTACCAGGTAGCAGAGAAACAAGGTATACATCCAAAATCATATTCTCAGATTTGGCAAATACCAAGTGCTCAAGAAATACTCATCGAATATAAAATCTTGTATAAGGTCAGGAAGCTTAGGAATAACAGTGGCAGCACTATTCTATGCTTAATAGCATAGAATGCTTAGGTATTTGTGACAGGCATTTTCTCTAAGATGGTTTTGCATTTGCTTTGTTTTTTAGTAAACTGCTACACAACAGAGGCTCTTTGCTATCTGCTGGATATTTCTGTAAGTTTGATTTCCAACTCCTTTGGTGCTATTAGAATATATATTTAACAAACAGTAATAGCTGACTTACCTCAGAATGCACTTCCTACTTTGTCTTAGCTACATTAATACAGGCTGAGTATCCCTTACTAGAAATGCTTGGGACTAGAAGTGTTTCAGATTTTGAAATATTTACATTATAACCACCCATCCAGCATCCCTAATACAATCACCCCATCTGAAATGTTCCAATTTCCTTTAAGTGTCATATTAACACTCAGAAATCTCAAAGTTTGGAGCATTTTTTATTTTGGATTAGGGATACTTAACCTGTAATTCATATATTTGAACAAAAACTTATTAAACCTAGTATTCTTTCTATTAAACACCTGTTCTTCCTAATAGATTTAATCGAATCTTTTGATCTTTAGATGGAAAAGGAAAACAGCTGACTTACCACCCAAGAGCCTCTCATCATGAAGTTCATAAGAACAGGAGTTCTGCTTATTGCCAAGGCAGACAAAGCTGTTAAACCAATACTTCCTCCTAAGTACATATAGGTAGAATGAATTCTATCCTTCACATACTGAGGCCAAATTCTGTAAGAAACATGACATAGTTAATTTATGGAATTATGGATTTGAATTCTAGTTGAGTCATTTACTAGCTGGATAAGATTTACTACTAAATCTTATTCACTTCATTTATCATGGATATAATTATGCATATTTTGGAGTTACTATAAAGATTAAATGAGATAAAACATATAGGCACTTGGCATGTATAAAAAGCAACATATTTCTTCCTTGCTTAAATATATATAGCCCTGTTAAAAGATTTTTATTGAGGTTTGAATAAACATATGCCAAGGAAGTAAGAAGATATTCTTTTTTTTATTCATATACACTCTAAAAGTGACCAAAGAATGAGAAGAAAACTGGAATTGTTGGGGAACAATTTACTTACACAGCCTTTTCAATAGCTCCAATCTCATTAGACATTCCCAAGCCATAGTAGCACAATGCTCCAAGACCAACAGCAGCCCCTCCAGCAACAAACCATCTTCCCATCTGATCAACTGCAGAACACAGGAAGAAACGCAGGTTACTATTGGCATGTCTTGATTAAATTAACATGCTGGTATAAGGCTTTTGCAATATTCAAGGGAAACGAAATCATACTATTTTTCTTCCTAATAGCCATAATTAGTGCATATGGGGTATAGAAATGACCTCAAAGTTAGGGAACCAGTAGAAACCAGCAGTATCCTGAAACAAAGAGTAATGTGAACAGTACAAAAAAAGAAAGAATCAGACTTAATTAAACTCCAGCCTCATTCCAACAACATTTGAGGGGGGCAGTCTATCTGTAGATATGGGGATAATTCTGTGACACATTTTATATATATATATATATATATATATATATTTTTTTTTTTTTTTTTCCAAGTTGGAGTCTCACCCTGTCGCCCAGACTGGAGTGCAGTGGCCGCTCCCGGCCACCACAGCCTTGACCTGCTGGGCTCCGGCGATCCTTCCGCCTCAGCCTTCCGAGTAGCCAGAATTATAGGCATGCGCTACCATGCCTGGCTGATTTTTTGATTTATTGTAGAGATGAGGTCTCGCTGCCCAGGCGGGTCTTGAACCTGTGGGCTCAGGCAATCCACTCACCTCAGCATCCCAAAGGTGCGGGATTACAGGCTGAGCCACCGAGCCCGGCGACACATTATATTAAAAAAGAGGTGGGGTGTGTTCTCATAACACTCTTAGAAAGCAAAAAATAAGAAGGAAATGTTAATAGTCATACCACAGTGTATCTAAAGTGGTATTAACAAAGATGATGCTTTACATGGGGTCAAGAAAAAAGAGAAAGAAGAAATAAGAAATTTGTGTTTATGCAGCAGAATCTAGGGAAAGTATGCTCTTATTTTAGAGGCCAGAGAGACAATTAACTTATCAACTCTAACTTGATAGAGGTATTCATAAAGAACATCGTACTCCTTTTAGTCTAAATTTGTTGACTAAGAATGTTAATAGGCTGTCACTACTTAATTGATATGATTTGGTTTCTTGAGTCAATCCACAGAGATAACCTGAAGGACACTGACTAGGACTCTCACCTACAGTAATGACATACTTCAAAATTGTTAAGAAGCAGTGGTACTTTTTGATTAGCTTTGGGAAGACATTAAGATATTGCCCTCCTATAGGCAGTCAGTGGGAGGGCATTCCTTGGGCAGCTAGGCTTTTATTAACATCCATATTTTATGACTTATTCTTAATCTGAAATTATACAAATACTATACGCTTGAATGAAGATTATACATACTTCAAATGAACTTCTTCAATAGTTTACACCTTTTAGATCATAGCATAATCCTTTTTCTTAAAAAAAGAGAAAAGAAAAATTTCCACTGGAATATGACTGGAAACCAATGAACCCAGTGCAAAGCCCAATCTTTTTCAAGTCATCAGATCTCTGAGAATAATAATGTGGTTTTTCTTTCCAGAAAATGCACAAAACATATGTATTTTTTAGAAGGTTGTTCATGGACCTCTTAAAACATATCCATGGACTCCAGGTTAAAAACTTAAGACATTCACTTACTTTTAAATATTTTTTCCATCGATGGTTCCAATGCTGCCTCTTTGAGTTCTTGGCCAGTTTTCCCACGCCGGATCCCAATTCTTGTCTTGGTGGCATATTCCTAATACATGTACAAACATACCAAAGCACCCATACCAAAGTACCATGTTAATAAAGTAATATCAGGATCGCTTTACACTAGAAAACTCTAGTAAAGGAAACCTGGTACTTCATTATATGTAATTTCACTATGAAAGTTTGTTAACCAACCTGAAAAATTAAACATATATCTTACCTGTCTCCCTTCTTGAAGCGATTCAGTAGTCCATTATACACTTAACTACTTTAAGCTTCAGCATAACTTCTTCTCTAATAAGCTACAGATTTTACTTATAGACACAGAATTATTATATTTTAAATATTAACCAAATAGCAAGATAAGACTATTTTTTTCCTTTTTTTTTTTTTTGAGTTGGGGTCTCACTCTGCACCCAGGCTGGAGTGCAGTGGCACAATCTTGGTTCACCGTGGCCTCTAACTCCTGGGCTCAAGTGATCCTCCTGCCTCAACCTCCTGAACAGCTGGACTACAGAAGTATGCTACAACGCTTGGCTAACTTTTCTATTTTTTGTAGAGACGAGGATCTCACTTTACCTCAGTTGATCTCAAACTCCTAGGCTCAAGCAATCCTCTTGTCTCAGCCTCACAAAGTGATGGGATTACAGGCATGAGCTACCATGCCCAGCCAAGAATCTATTAACATTAAATGTATTCAATTAGGCATCATTGGCTACATTTTGTCATCTGGTAAATGAACTCAAGAAAGGTATCTTACCTTAACTTAAAGGGAAACTGATGACTACTACCTCTGTTTTGGCTCTTTTTCAAGAGTGAAACAGTTCATTTAAGAGAAAAAAAGAGCCGGGCTCGGTGGCTCAGCCTGTAATTTCGTGCTTTGGGAGGCTGAGGTGAGTGGATTGCCTGAGTCCGTGGGTTCAAGATCTGCCTGGGCAACTTGGTGAGACCTCATCTCTACAATAAATCAAAAAATTAGCCGGGCGTGGTAGCGCATGCCTGTAGTTCCAGCTACTTGGAAGGCTGAGGCAGAAGGATTGCTGGAGCTCTAGCATGTCGAGGCTGCAGTGGCCGGGAGTGGCCACTGCACTCCAGTCTGGGCGACAGAGTGAGACTCCAACTCAAAAAACAAAAAACAAAAACAGAGGAAAAAAGTTGTCTCCTTCTAGTTTTCATATATCCTCCTTACTTACCTCACACTTCAAAAATTAGATTCCTTCTACTCTGAATGCTGGAGAACAAATCTATTGTAAAAGGAAATGGATTTCTCTCTAATCAGACAGATTTTATTCAATCATTCTCTAAATAAGTGTTAAAATAATATCTTTAGTAACTTATCAGTAATCTACTGGCCACCTGGTAATATCCCTGGGTTCTTAAACTTTTGACTATAGGTCCCACGATCTTTGTTGCAACACTTACTCTCAATTCCTCACAATGTACTCTAAATTTTCTGATGAGAAATTCCAAGAGCTGAAAGTAAAGGAAAGTTACAGAAGCTCTTTTTCTCTTCCATATGTGATAAGGAGGAACCAAAGCAGCACAAAATTAATGGGGAGAAAGATGACTGTGGACATTATCAAGGCCAACTGCTGCAGTAAATTACTAAAGGCAAAGCAGCAAGCTTCATACTCTGCTTAAAAAATGGTCCCAGGGGCACAAATAGAGAAACAAAATAAAAACATTCAAATTATACTTACCCTGCTGGGTGTTAAGAGCCATTGATTCTTCGTGATGGAATTCTTCACAATGGAATTCTTCACAAAGGGGGAGGCCTTGGTGAAAGTTGGATGGAAAACCCTAGAAGGTAGCGTCCGGAGACATACAAGCCTTGCAGCCAGCATGGTGGTACGCCAGGTTTATCAAGCAGATCTGAAATGCTAGTTGGAAAGACAGAAAATAACCCATTAAGCTAATCAAGACAGGGACACTGGAGCCAGGTATAGTAGTTCACGCCTGTAACCTAAGCTCCTGAGGAGGCTGAGGTAGGAGAATCACTTGAGCTAAAGAATTAGAGACCAGTCTGGGTAACAGAGCAAGACTCTCATCTCTGAAGAAAAAAAAAATGTAAAAAAATAACAAAAAATGGAGAAAGACATAGAGGAGTCAGAGACAAGGAACAATTTATCTTTTATTAGAAAGAGGGAATAAAGCAACCTTTTAAATTTCCAGTGGTAAATCCTTTGCTTGTTCCTTGTAATTCGAGAAACCTATCTCATAAAAGTCAGTTGAATGGAGTCCCAAATTAGGTTTAAGTCCCAGTTTGACCAATAACAGGATACAACACTCTGCAGAAGTTATGGGTAACATCGAGTGGATGTTAATAACAGAATGTAACTACAGAGTCTGTGATGGCTTTTACAAATGTGGTTTTGTCTTAAGATTCACATCGTGCTCAATGAGAAAATTTAAAAGAATCTGTGTAAATTTTGAGCAGAGGGAAAATGTCATCCAAGGAAGAGATGAATAACTCTTCAAGGTCATATTGCATTACAAGGCTAAAAGATATCAACAGAAGCCAAGTATATAAATTTCAGCAAATCATGCCCAGTATTACTTTCCTTCGAGATAAGATATAAAAATATTCAAAGTTAACCTATATTCCCCACTATAACTATATAAAGGACATTCAATCTTTCAACGTAAACTTAGTGACCAATAAGGTTTCCCTTATGTTAGACTCCTTTGTTGGTGTCTTCAAAATAAAAACATCCCAAAAATTGGATTTTTTTTTTTTTTTTAGCTCCAGGGCAGATTACAGAGGATGAGTAGTCAACCAGAAGTCAGCTGACCATCTTTCTGTAATGCTAAGGTGACTACCACAACAACAGGTGAGATTGTGGAGACAACTATAAGCCAACTTGGGCTACCAGCCCATCTCTGATCTTTTGGGTCTCATTTTCCCCATCTGTAAAATAAGAGAATAGGAGAGAACTGGACAGTGTTCAGACTACAGTGCTGAACTCTGCACCACTTGCCTTGAAAAATGCCCTAATGAATCTTACAAGGCAGTCTCTGGGTTTTACTTTAATCTTAACGATTCAACCTCCAAAAATGTGACCAAGAAAATGTGTTTTAACAAGCGCTCCCAAAGCTAAGAACCCTTGATTTAAAGTTAACTGAGTGTCCTCCCAACTCTGCCACTGAACTGTAAAGGGTCTGTAACACTCGGCACCTGTCCTTTGGGTAAACACTGAGCCCGTCTAGCACTTTCTTGCCATGACATCATCTCAACCTACAGCTGTCCCGTATAATCCTCAGTCTACTGGGACCAAAGGAGCCCAGCTCAGAGTGGTCCCCACGTCGACTAACAACCCAGAGTGGGAATCCCGCTTCTGCCGCGTTAGAAGTGACCTTATGAGGGTGTTGGACCTCTGAGACTCAGGTGTCTCTGTTATGTATTACAGAAAATACTACTGACCTTCACATTAGAGCTTACGCTTCCATGAGCACTGCTAAGCTCGGGGACCCAGCCCCCCTGACTTAGAGGATAACCGGCAGCAAGCCCCCCACCAGGGTCAACGCACAACTCTGCGACAACCCCCGCTTCAGGTGCCTCATCTACTAGGGTAGCGGCTGCACGGCCTGGCCACGAGCATGACTCAGCACCTCGCTGCCAGGGCAAGGAGGCCAGCAAGTGAGCCCCTGCCCGCCTGTCCTTGGCCCTGTGGCCGCCGCCCCCTCCACCGGGTCACACACAAGACGGCGACCCTGACGCGTAGCCCGGCCGTGACCAGCGGCCTCTAGCCCTCCCCAACCGCACCCAGTGGCCCCACGAGGCCGGTAGTCAGGAGTACCGGGAACCCCGAATGCCTGCCGAACCGGGGAAGCAGTACCTCAGTACCCGGTCACCTCCACCGCGCAGTTCCCCTTCCGGGCCGGCGAAACGCGCACGCCCGCACACCCCCACCGCCCTGGCTCCCACCCGCTCCTTACGGTCTCTGCGCGTGCAGTCCCGCCTACTCACTGCATGACGCAACATCCGAAGAGACGGTAAATAGTACAAGCAGCCAATCAGGAGCAGGAGCAGGTCCCTGACGGAAGGGCGGGCACACTGAGGGCGGGGTTGCGGGTTGGTGGGCGGGGCCAGTTGAGGATTGTTGGAAACGGCACAATCGGAGTCCATCTTGAGTGTGGGCAGGGAAGCGAGCGTGTCCGGTTTAGTTTTTAGCGGCGGAACTTTGCTTTTGTCGCAACCTTTTCTCTCTCAACGATACAATTATTATTTAAAAATTGAAAAGGAAGTCATGTTAGAATTAAAAATTATTTCGTCGTCCTGTTTCCTCCTTATTGAAGGCCTTTTTTGTGCCTTAATTTACTGTGAGATAAGTATTGCGCTTAATGTGGCTCTTTCAGATTGTAGCCAACCCGGCTTCTTGGGTCTGACCTCAAGGTTAGGTGAGGAAATCCAGAAAAGGTTATTTCTATTTTTTTTTTTCTTTTTAATTGCCTTGTGACCTTGCCAGGCAAGTTTCTCTGTGAACCTGTATGGTAGGGCTATAAAGTACAGCTCTGCCTCCTACCAGGGTTGTTCTCAGGACTATGAAGATGTTTTCGTTGTGCTTAATTTGTTAAGTGAAAAGCCGTTTCTCGAGTACAGGAGAGTTGTTTATTTATTTTCATTCTCTCTGTTTCCCTTTGAACAAATACTGAATATTCAGCTTTGTACTAAGGTCTGTACTTGGGATACATACAAATAAGTCAAACACACGTGCTACTACTGCTTTAGCAAAACAAGTCCTTGTCCTTCTGGTTTTACTTTCTAGTGGAGACAGAGACAAGAAAAATATAGTGTTAGGTGGTGATAAATATCCTGAAGGAAAAGCGGGGCTAAAGCCCTGGAGGGGTGCTATTTTAAACAAGGTGTTTTAACAAGATGTAAAATCTGTGAACTTTTATTATCTCCTAAGCAATTTATTTTACTTTATTATTCTCTCCTAACCATGTAAATCTTGACAACGATAACCATTTACCTTCCATGTGGGTGATAAAAGAGTTTGGCAGCAACAGAATTCTTATCTCTTTACTCTGATAATGGCAGGGAACACTAGAGAAATCTGTCACTTTTGGTATTGAACAAATCAAGTATAATCAACTCAATCTTACTTTAGATCTTGGTCCAGTTTGATTAGCTAGCAAATAGGTTTTCTGTTTAGCTCCTTCAGTGATAAACTTTTTTTCTATAGTTTCTGTTATCAGCAAAGAGAAGGGATTTACAATGCAGTGCCTGAATAAACAATCTTGAAATCAATGACTCAAGATTCTTATTAAGTAAAGCTTATTTTTCCCAGACTGGAAGAAAAATTTCTGATTTATTATTTTCCTTTCTTAAGGAAGGGGCTTGTATTGTTTCTACAGTTGTTAAATATGTTGAAGCAGGATCACATTATTAGGAAGATAAGCTTGTGGCAGTGTAGGGTGGGGAGAGGTTCCATTGACTGGGAAATGTATAGGAAATCTATTGCAGTTGTTCAAACAAAAGGTGATAAAGGCTGGAAGTAAGCCAGGAGAAGGATAGAGACGGTTATACGACAGAGATATATCACTGAGGTGGAATTTTCAGGGTTTAATGACCGGTTGGATACAACTGATAAGAATGAGGGAGGTACCCTGAATAATTCTTCTGTTTCGAATTGGGTGGAAAATTATGCCATTAATTTAGAAATAGGTACAGGAAGAGATACCAATGAGGGGAAGTAGATAGATAAAACTTAGTTTGAAGTGCTAAATTGTAAGATCTCTTTTTCTTTTTCGAGTTGGAGTCTCACTCTGTCGCTCAGACTGGAGTGCAGTGGCCGCTCCCGGCCACCGCAGCCTTGGCCTGCTGGGCTCCGGCG